TGTGTGTGTGTGTGTGTGTGTGTGTGTGTGTGTGTGTGTGTGTGTGCTCTAAAGATATTTATACCATCATTAATCTTTATTTAACCAGGCAAATCCCACTGAGATCACAATAATGATTGATACTGAAATGTTTATACCACTGATGCAAGAAATTTAAACTTTAAATTGATTCTAAACTCAAAATATCGACACTTTGATGCTTTAGTCATTTCAGGTAACATATATAATTAACAAGAAAGTAACAAAACTATTAAAATCTTGTCTAAATCATACATGTTCAAGATTCAAGATTCAAGAATTTATTGTCACTGTCCAGGCAACGAAATTGTGTTTGGAGTACAACACTCAGTGGTAGTAGCATATTTCCCATTAAAGTGCAGAAAAGGTAAAAGTGACACCAGTGCTTGCACATCTTACAAAACTGTAAAAACGAGTAAACAGCTCCCCAATCCCACTATGATAAATAAGTAGAGTAAGTGTCCCCAGTAATTATAATGTAAATGTTAGACTGTGATTTCTCAACAGCCCTGTAAGTTCAACAGTCTTATAGCGTGGGGGTAAAGACTGTTGGCCAGTCTTTTAGTCCGGCTCTGTAGGGACCTGTACCTTCTGCCTGAGGGCAGCCGTTGGAACAAGTGATAGGCAGGATGGTGGCATGTTTGGTAGGAACTACGCTTTCTTCTGCCTGTGTAATGTGTAAGAGTCACTCAGTCTGTGTTACATGTTCAGTATTTTCCTGTTAATATGTTCAAGTAACATATTAAGATAAAAGTGTTCATTTTAATGAGTTCTTAAAGTTAATTTGAATTGTTTTATTATTTTTACTTAATTTTTTAGTGTCCAAAACACTATTTTTTACATATTTTGTATGATTGTGTCTGGCTTTTCTGTTTTAGCTCTGCTGTATTATAAATGTCAGGGTTCCCACGGGTCCTTGAAATCCTTGAAAGTTTGTGAATTTGAGAAAATTATTTCAAGGCCCTGGAAAGTTTGTGAAAACAGCCTAAAATTACACTTGTCCTTGAAAGTCGTTGAATGTTTTTTGGGGATTGAAATTATCTATTCACACGACTGATTTTCATCATTCATCATCTTTAATATATATATACACTCACCGGCCACATTATTAGGTACACCACGCTAGTAATGGGTTGGACCCCCTTTTGCCTTCAGAACTGCCTCAATTCTTCGTGGCATAGATTCAACAAGGTGCTGGAAGCGTTCCTCAGAGATTTTGGTCCATATTGACATGATGACATCACACAGTTGCCGCAGATTTGTCGGCTGCACATCCATGATGCGAATCTCCCGTTCCACCACATCCCAAAGATGCTCTATTGGATTGAGATCTGGTGACTGTGGAGGCCATTTGAGTACAGTGAACTCATTGTCATGTTCAAGAAACCAGTCTGAGATGATTCCAGCTTTATGACATGGTGCATTATCCTGCTGAAAGTAGCCATCAGACGTTGGGTACATTGTGGTCATAAAGGGATGGACATGGTCAGCAACAATACTCAGGTAGGCTGTGGCGTTGCAACGATGCTCAGTTGGTACCAAGGGGCCCAAAGAGTGCCAAGAAAAGATTCCCCACACCATGACACCACCACCACCAGCCTGAACCGTTGATACAAGGCAGGATGGATCCATGCTTTCATGTTGTTGACACCAAATTCTGACCCTACCATCCGAATGTCGCAGCAGAAATCGAGACTCATCAGACCAGGCAACGTTTTTCCAATCTTCTCTTGTCCAATTTCGATGAGCTTGTGCAAATTGTAGCCTCAGTTTCCTGTTCTTAGCTGAAAGGAGTGGCACCCGGTGTGGTCTTCTGCTGCTGAAGCCTATCTGCCTCAAAGTTCGACGTACTGTGCATTCAGAGATGCTCTTCTGCCTACCTCGGTTGTTACGGGTGGTTATTTGAGTCACTGTTGCCTTTCTATCAGCTCGAACCAGTCTGCCCATTCTCCTCTGACCTCTGGCATCAACAAGGCATTCCCATCCACAGGACTGCCGCTCACTGGATGTTTTTTCTTTTTCGGACCATTCTCTGTAAACCCTAGAGATGGTTGTGCGTGAAAATCCCAGTAGATCAGCAGTTTCTGAAATACTCAGACCAGCCCTTCTGGCACCAACAACCATGCCACGTTCAAAGGCACTCAAATCACCTTTCTTCCCCATACTGATGCTCGGTTTGAACTGCAGGAGATTGTCTTGACCATGTCTACATGCCTAAATGCACTGAGTTGCCGCCATGTGATTGGCTGATTAGAAATTAAGTGTTAACGAGCAGTTGGACAGGTGTACCTGTGTAACTTCTACGTTGTTCAGTTTTTCTTTGAATTTACATGATATTAAACCTGTTTAATGGTAACATTCTGCAGTAGCAGTAGGTAATTACCGATGCGCGTGGTTCTTTAATTTGAGGAAATTGGTACTGGAAAGTCCTTGAAAGGTCCTTGAATTTGATGTTGACCAAGGTGTGGGAACCCTGAAATGTGGATCCTACCATCAATATATTTCTGAGTTTAAAATGAATAAATTAATTACTCTGATGTCTTATGTTCTACATAAAACTGTAATTTAGATTCACCAGACTCATTTGGTGTATTATTTATTATACCAGTCAGAGTTTTATTTGGAATCAGAATTAGGAAGGAAATTAGCGTTATCAAACACTAGATCGCATTTTTTTTTTCAAGGGAGGCCTGGGCCTGAAGGCAGCCTCAACATGCAAGAAGAAACTGGAGTACAAAACCTACACAAACAACAGAACATGCAGCATCCACACAGAAAGACTCATGTCCATAACCTTCTTGTTGTGAGGCAACAGAGCTGCTCTGAACTGGCTTCAAACAGGCAAAGAATGTTCTTAGTCCTTTGTGAAACATGCAAAATATGATGAGTAACCATATTTTTTAATTCTCATAAAAAAATCAGAGGTATAAATTTTAGTTACTCATTTACTGTTGTTACCCATTTATATTACTTTTACTGACAACAAGAGTTTTCTTTCATGTCTGCTACTTTATGCTCTCCCTGTTTTTTCACAGCCAGAAATAGAAACAGAATAGCTCTGGTTCTTAAGTGAACTTTTCCTTTTGTTTTTTTTTTTAGCTTTTGAGGAATCGTCATCTTCATCATAGTTAAAAGTGGTTCAGATATAAAATATATATTCAGCGGTTCGTTAATGTTATTTACAAACAAAAAGTCAAGTAAAATGTTTTTTTTTCCAGTTTTAGCAATACAAATACAGACACCTAAACCTACCATTCAAAAAAGAAAAACTGCTAGTGTTGACGTTCCCTCCCAAACACACAAAAACACACACACTT